ATAGCCAAGTGTTGTGGCAAGGGAAAGGGATACCAAAAGAACTAATAGAACAACATTGGTTAGGCTCATTAGTGGTGGAATGCAACGTAAAGCATTTAGCTAAAAGTAGTGTAAACCTTCTTTACGCATTATTTAGCTGAGTCAGCTCAGTAAAGGCTTACAGTTCTCTGAAATCATTCACTCATCATAGGTATTGTTCAAAAAAGCCAGAAATGTATCATCATAATATCAGGAAGGATATTGAGAACAAGACAAAGGTGTCATTTTGTCACTACACAGAACTTCAATGTGTTTGCTTCTGGAATACTGAGTAGAGGTTTAGAGTGTACTCCTCGAGAAGCATGCGGTGAATGTGAGGTGATACAGAGAAGGAATTTAGTGCAGCAGAGAGATAGAGCAGCTTCCGTGCTCCCGTTATTCCGTGGAGCAGACTTGCTTCACACAGTGCCTGCTTTGCATTCTGCACGTTTAGCAAAACCTACAGGGCAGGGTTTGTGGAAATGTATAGAATGCTTCAGTTTGAAGAGAAGAAGTCCGATGCTGTGGAGCAGGCAGTATCACATGGTTCAAAATGTGATTATATACATTTATAGGAAGTATGGATACTAGGAGGACTGAGCCAGGTATAATAGCTTCTGATATTTCCAGCTATTATGGATGCTGGTGGACTGTGAAGGGAAGGCTCTTCAGGAAATTGTGGTCTCATGTTACTCTAAAGCACAACTGTTGCTGTGCTCTGCTGTGATCCAGTACGGTATTTTTTATATTCCTGTGTTTCCATTGCTTTATCAAGTCCTTCACTCAGAATTTTAAATTGAATTAGGGGTAGCAGGAGGCTGAGTTTGTCCAAAACAGTTGTTTGTTGTAATTGTAATGCAGTGCTATTACTTAGTGCCAGAAAGGAAGGGTTAGCTGGGGCTTTAATTTATTTGTATCGTATTCATATTCACTTCTTCCAGTTTCTTGGTATACAGAGTTATCCAAATCAAACTGGTGTGGTTCTGTTGCTCGAATAACCACATTTAAACTGATGCACAGTAACTGACCAAACACACCAATTGCCAGTCCCTTTTGCCAAGTAAAACACGGCAGCTTAAACCATGATTTAGCCTGACAAATGATTTGTTGTTTAAGCCTAATACCTCTTGATTCACAGACTGACACACATTCAGTTACTGCAGTTTGGGTGATGAATGTTAGCCCATTAGGCTTCAGTACTGAATTTTTTTCCAGCTGAAATCTTTTCCTTTCTGAGCACTCTTTTGTGTTTTCTCCCCTTTTTATTAGTCTTTTTCTTCACAGTAATCAGCACACTTCTAGCCTTGCTTAGGAAAGGACTGTGTTGTGTTTAAAGATTAGAAGTGAGTATAACTTGCTTGAACACAGAACTGCAGATTTGACTGAACAAATATTGTTTAGATCACTTGGTGTTTTGGTAACTGGTGTAATGTCAAAGCCACTAAAGCAATGAAATACACATGCAGTTTTGGCTGTGGAAGCAACAACTGCCAGAGAGGGATCAATGGCAGCATAGTTTTTAAAGGGAGTCCTTGTCAACACAAGTGCAACAGAGCACCATCTCCTCTCTATCCGTGACTAGAAGAAAGGAATCAGAAACCACTTTGAACCAGATGGTGATTCCTCCTAAGAGAAATGGAGGTCTGAGGTTAGTATTTCCAATTCGGCACAGTTTACTTCTTTGTGAAATACACATTTGGTGCATCTTGATGCACTTTATCTTGTACACAGAAAATAGCAAGTCTTATATGCATGGGGAATTTTATATTAAAAAAATCACTGAGCTTTTGTCTTGATGTCAAATAGCTTTATGCAGCATTGGCAGCCAAAATAGTCTAATGACTTATAGCCAGGAAATGACTAAATATAAAATGTGACAACAAAGGAATTGCCATTAATAATGCTAATTTTTACTTGTTAGCAAACACTTCTTACTGCCTTCCATCTGGAGCAAGCATGATGATTTGAACATTTTTAGGCTGTTAGCATGCTCTTAAACATCCAAACCTGCCAATATTGAAAGGAGGGAATAGAGTATGTAAGCAAAGGAGCAGAATGTAGACCACCTTGTTCTTTTGATGATTATATCATATATAGCTAATTGCAATAGAACAAAAGGGGGAAAAGTAAATTAAAAAACAGAGTATACCTCAGCAATGCTTGCCTGTTTCACTAACTTTGAAATGAATAGTGGAAAAGCTAAATAGTACATCAAGATTGTTTCATGGCATATTTCTTGTCTTGCCCTGTAAGAAGCCTTCCTCATGTCAGGAAGAGGGGAACATCTCTCTAATGGGATTCAGAAACAATTAAATCATTTGTTGTGACGTTTTCTCCTGAATGAATATTAAATGAAGAGTTATACAGGATTTTTTGTTATACAGGATTACGTTAGGTAATCTTCTCTCATCTTTTCATCAAAGAATTATAGAATGGCCTAGATTGAAAAGGACCTCAAAGATTATCTAGTTTCAACACCCCTGCAATGGGCAGGGTCACCAAAACAAGGGTGGTTTTAAAATCTCCCTTGCAGAAAGTGGAGGCCTGAGGCCTGATCCTTCACCATTCACTTTCAGATGAGCATTCATTCTGGTAGGACTGCAGAACTGCCAAGCCAATCTCTGTCATATCTGAAAAGTCATGGCTGTCAGGTGAAGTCCTTCGTGACTGGAAAAAGGGAAACATCACTCCCATTCTCAAAAAAAGGAGATAGGGAAACTACCTGGGAAACTAGAAGCTATGTTCCCCTGGATTTGAAAGCTGGACTGTTTGTGGATAAAGAATTGGATGTTGCAGCCACTGGATTGTGACCAGTGGTTCTGTGTCCAAGTGGAGGCAGGTGAGTGATAGGTAGGTTCCATCTGGCTATCAATACTCTCCAACATCTTCATCAGTGACACAGTGGGATGGAGTACACTCTCAGTAGGTTTGCTGATGACACCAAGCTGACACAGTAGAAGGAAGAAGGCAGTTGACCCAGTATCACAGAATCACAGAATCACAAGGTTGGAAACGACCTGCAAGATCATCTAGTCCAACCACCCTCCCATTCCTATCAGTGCCACAAGCTACTAAACCATCTCTCGTAGCTCCTCATCCAGGCGCCTCTTGAACACTGCAGGGATGGTGACTCCACCATCTCCCTGGGCGGGCCATTCCAGTGCCTGACCACCCTGTGAGAGAAAAAGTTTCTCCTAATATCCAACCTAAACCTCCTCTGGTATAACTTCTGGCCATTTCCTCGGGTCCTACTATTTGCCTGGGAGAAGAGGCCAGACCCTTTTGCACCACAGCCTCCCTTCAGGAAGTTGTGCAGTGCAATGAGGTCTCCCCTGAGCCTCCTCTTCTCCAGACTGAACAATTCCAGCTCCCTCAGCCGCTCCTCATAAGACTTGTTGCTCCAGACCCCTCACCAGTTTCGTTGCTCTTCTCTGGACACGTTCCAGGGCCTCGATGTCTTTCTTGTAGTGAGGGCCCAAAACTGAACACAGTACTCGAGGTGCGGCCTCAGCAGTGCCGAGTAGAGGGGAATGATCACCTCCCTGCTCCTGCTGGCCACACAGTAGAAGGAAGGGATGCCATCCAGAGGGACCTCAACAAGCTTGAAAAGTGGGCCCACGTGAACCTACTGAGATTCAACAAGGCCAAGTACAGGATGTCGCTCTTGGGCCAGGGCAATCCCAGATATGTGTACAGACTGAGAGCAAAACACATGGAGAGCAGCCCTGTGGAAAGGACTTGTGGGTCCTGGCGGAACAAAAGCTTGTTGTGAGCTAGCAGTGTGTACTTGCATCCTGGAAGGTCAACTATATCCTGGGCTGCTTGAAAAGAGGGACGCCAGTAGGAAGAAGAAGGTGATTGTCCCCCTGTCCTCTGCCCTTGGGAGGCCTTGCCTGCAGTACACTGCATCCAGACCTGCAGCCTCCAGCACGAGAAAGATGTGGAGCTGTTGGAGTGGGTCCAGAGAAGGCCCACGGAGATGATCTGGAGCACCTGTCCTGTGAGGAAAGGCTGTTGGAGATGGGTTTGTTAAGCTTGCAGAAGAGAAGGCTCTGGGGAGGCCTCATTGCAGCCTTCCAGTACTTGAGGGCTTTTTGTTTGTTTGCTTGTTTTTTTCAACTGGGTCTGATAGTAACAGGAGAAATGGAATAGCTTTATACTAAAAGAGAGGAGATTTTGGTTAGGTATTAGGAAGAAGCTCTTTACCCAGGTGGCAGTGAGGCACTGGCACAGGCTGCCCACGGAAGCTATGAATGCCCCATCCCTGGAGCTGTTCAAAGCCATGTTGACTGTGGCCCTGGGCAGCCTGATCTAGTGAGTGGCAACCTTTCCGTGGCAGGAGGGTTGGATCTACATGTTATACTTGCTTATCTGATATTATGATTTCAGACATTCTGAAGTATAACATAGTTCAGTTAGAGACTTGGAGGTCTGACTTTAAATGGGGCTTCTGGATCCATCGTTGGAGGGCACTACTGAGACTAGCCAGGACAAGTAAAGGAAACAAGTACAAGCAGGACTGTGGTGCAGAAGAATTTTAGTTTGGGTGACTTTTGGCTTTTACAGTATATGCACACTGGAAATGAGAAAAAGACTTTGATTATCTGAAGATGCGAGGAAGCTCTGGCATAGAGAGTAACATGCAATTAATTTTTATGCAAGTTCAGTTCTATTACTATTGTTAAAGCAGTTTATTTCTTTATTACAATGTGAATTGTCAGGATCTAGAGCCTTGCTCTGCTGCTCAGTCTGTGCTGCATCCAAAACTTTCTGTTAGTTTGTCATTGCTGGCCTTACTATACAAAAAAAAATATATATATATTTATATACACAAATATATGATATATATATGATATATATAAATATATATATTTATACACAAATAAATGATTTCCTGATCTCAGATATTATCTGTATTGATTTAGAGAAACCAGACATAAAAATGCAGAAGTTTAAAATATGTTCTGACTTTGTGCTTTCAGGTTCCTGAGCACACAGAACTGGCCTGGATTCTTGGATGTTTAACTAATGTGCCACGGTTACTACGTTTGCCCCAGTGGAAGGTATGAACAGTTTAGTAAGTTAAAATGAAGTGTATGGGAATTCAATATAATTGTTGTCCTTGAAATACTTGTTACTTGTTGAGTATAAACTGAATGTTAGTTATCCTTGGTTCAAGGGTAAGAATTCTCTAGTCCAACAGTAAAAGAAGAAAATACATCTTCTTGGGCAGAAACTTGCAGTAGCTGTACCAAAATGGGAAGAAGTGTTTAATTTACTTTATTAAACTGATTTTCTCAGCATGTTTGGAGTTATTTTGATTCTTGTTCAATAATGCATGAAACTACAAGATATTGTAGTGGAAACTTCGAGCCGTGCTGATTAAGGAGTTCCATAAAGGAAAGTGGCTATTCTGTAAATCTTACAGAATAGGGTGAAAAAGAAACGGCACAAGAAATGGATGTTAGAGGAGGAGTATAGAATTAAAATTGTTCTCAATTATAAAGTTAATGAACCTTGATTGTTTGCTTTTATAAGTTTCATGCTCATCTTAATCTTGGTACTGTATCAGCATTACCGCATCAACTGTGTAGATACATTTCATTTCCTTGGATTTTATTTGGCATTTAGTAAGCAGAAAAAAACAAAAGGCAGGAGAGAGAAGTATCAAAAAAGGGGGAAAAAATCCTTAAGAGCAGTTGGGCTTGCAGAGTTCAGAGCAGTCTTAAACACATCCAGATGTTTTCTTTTTTCCTGTTTTTCTTCTTAATTAAATAAAAACAGTAAAACTTAAATACAGCAACCAGTGTTAATGCATGGCATAAATTAAAGCCAACCTTTTCAAACCCAAGGTTCTAAAGTTAAGCTCTTAAATCCTACTTTGACTGGATTGACTTTCCAAATCTGTAAGTAAGTGTTACAGGTGCTAGGCTTTGCACAGTAGGTTCCCTGAGCCCAGGCACTTGGGATATAGAGAGAAGACAGGATCTCTGTGATTGGGTGAGAAAAATTGAAAGGTATTTGTATAATCATAATGAACTATCATAGATTTTAAGAGTTTTATTGTAGTTAACTGTTGTTAAAAAGTAGTTATATTGTTGCTAGAACAGACTAAATTATCTGTAGCTAGAATATCTTGATTTAAGTGATCCATACCCTGTGATGGTAAAAGACTTCAGGGCAGTGAGTGGACTGGGAGGACAGTGAGAACTAATGGAGAGAATGCTGGACCCTGCCTCTGCAGTTCTGGATTCTCCCCCTGGTTGTCACTGACCATTTTGGTGACTGTGATCACTATGTCTTGATCTCTTGTCAATGAAATACGAAGTGCTAATGCCTTTCTAAATCTTGATTATAAAGTGTTTCAGAAACTTACTGCCAAAAATACTATTTTAGAGGTAGAGATTATCATTATAATAATCCTGTTTTTAAAAATACTATTTTAGAAGTAGGTTTTATCATTATAATAACCCAGCCTGACTATTTTGTATTTGTAATCGTTCTGGTTAGTAAGATTACAAAGAGGAAGAAGACATAAGCTTATGTTTTCTCACTGCTACTGTATTAGAACAGTGTAAGAAATTACATCAATATAGAATATAAAACAAAGAAGCAAGATTCACAAGAAGCAGATTCTATATAGCACGCTTTTCTCTAGAATTACATGATGAATGAACACAGCAGCTGAACCTACACTCAAATTAGAGCTCTAACTAAGTAAAGTCATGGACTTTGACGCTGTTAGCCAAAAGTGTGATTTCTCTCTCTTTTTTCTTTTCCAAACAGATGAAATGTGCCAGCCAGAATAATGATGGAAATGTCGGTTTGTTGACTTACCCTGTTCTTCAAGCAGCAGATATTTTGCTGTACAAGTAAGAGGCAGAATGTGAGCCCGTGGGCAATGTCTATTCAGCCGCCTTAAAGTGAATATTCATCAGGTCAACATGCCAACTTACTAAGTGGGGGAGCTGGGCGTGATTAAATAAGAAAATTGGAAATGGATGACAGCTTTTTACCTTTCCAGTGGCTGGTTGAAATCTAGCCTGGGTTAGAAGCAACTCACATGGCTGTAAACAGAAAAAGGAGGTCACCTCAGAGCAACTCTCAGAGAATTACAGCACACTGATTTTAATGATATATATTGCATATGGGCAAACATTTGTACCTAAGTTGTTTTGGTTTTTTTAATGAAGTATACTTTATCTCATGCACTATTTCTGTAGGGATTCTTGAGCTGGCTGCATACACCCCAGCTGATAGATCTTGTAGCGTACCCTGTTGTATTTCATGATACATTTTAGACTGCCTCAATAAGTATCAGAGGCAGTGTACTGTGTATTAGTTATTTTTATATTCCAAGTGTATGTACTTGGTGGAATTTTTTGAAATGAAGTTGTGAATGCTTGTTGGGACACCAAAGTAACACAGATCAAGATTTGCAAGTTGTTAACCCCCCAGAGATGTATCTAATCCTCAGTGCTCATTAGTAGGAGAGGACAGTAATGTAGGAAGACTAGTACATGATACTTCTAATTTATGTGAATTTTATCTAAAAATAATAGATAAAAAAATAAGCAAGCAAAAGGAAGAGTCTGAACATCAAAATGATCTTTTGAATGGCAAGGCTTATTTGATTATAAAGCAGTATTTTAAGTAGACAACTTTATTGGAAATTACCCTGCTTTGGCTGATTGGATTCAACCCTGTATGTCTCTTCTGTCTCTAGTAAGATCATTTGATTCAGCCTTCTTTAGTGAAGCCTGTGGTTTGTTTGCTACTATGTGTATTAACAGCAGGTTGTCCAAACAGAGCACAAAACAAGGAAGTGAAAGAGAAACAATATCTCTTTGAAGAAATTTCACATAGTATCTTTAATAAGAAGCGTTTAAATGTAAAAACATAATATAGGGAACAGCACTCAGGGAGAAATGGAAACACAGGAAGGGAAGAGTAGTCACAAAGAAGAATTAAGAGCAGGAGGAGGGGAAAACAGTAAGAATTCAGATGAACCAAGGATCAAAGAAAAAGGAAAATGGGCAGAAGGTAAATATGTGACAGAAAGGAACAAAAATAGCAACAGGACAGAAATATTTTTTAAAAAAGCAGCAGAGACATTTATAAAAACAATATGTTTTCTGTTTAGTGGCAAACTTTGTGAATGTGGAAGCATTTTGTCATATGGAAACATTTCTTTTGACCCGCTTAAAGTATATTGATTATGGTACCTTATTTTCTTTCTGTTAGCTGTAGGCCACTGTGATTTCCTATTGGCTACTGTAACTTTTTAGGTTGCCTTGCTGACTATTTGATGGGGGATAAAGGTGGACAAATTGATTTCTGGATGTCTACCCAATAATTTAGAGTTCAAAGGAAGAAGTACCATGTTGACCAAAAATTTTCTGGGAACATAAAAGATGCACAGTGAAGTTCTTTACCCTGGAACGTGTCCAAGATTCAGAGCTGAATACCCTGCAAGCTTTAGGAAGGAAAAATCTGCTTGGAGGGAGGGGAGAGTAATCAAAAGCTGGCAAAACTTCAAGTCAGCTTAATCTAAAAGAATCATATATTTTTAGCAAGGTATGATTAAGTGTGGGAAAGAATCACCAGGGGAAGTAATGGAATCTTCACCTCCTCATGTCCTCAGATGCAGATTGTATTTTCCTCCAGAACTGTATTCATACTGTAGAGCTTAGTACAGAAGATCAAATGATCCTTTGATCCTAACAATCCTAATCTAGGAAAGATAGTACTCGTGGGGAGAAACGCTGGCCCACATTATATTTATGCAATTGTGAACCATGAGAAAGAGCCACTCTCTTCTTCCGTTGGTAAGTCCACAATACTAACTTCTCAACAATAGTTACATCTTGCTGGGACATGACAAGGCAAGTTAGGACATTATGCCTGGCAGATCTTATTTGCTTTGTTCACAAAATCTAACACAAACTCTTTGATCTCTAAGGAGACAGCAGGAGATAGGACCAAAACCTTTCTTTGAGCTGAGTTTAATTATTTGCTCTTATTGATATCTTTACCAGGCATGTTTTTGAGAAAAGTTATTTTTACCCTTGGATATATGCTTCAGTTCACCACAAAAAAGCAGATTCGTACTGGGATGAGTATGAGCAATCAGTTAAGGATCTTGTTCACACAGCACCTCTACCTAGCTGGCTGAGTATTCGGCTCATTCTGGCCCTTAGTAATGGCAGAGTAACGTTTCAGCAGGACCAGAGAGCTTTGCTGAGTTTCCTGTATCTGTCTTTTATTAAAAGGTCGACACATGTTCCCGTTGGAGAAGATCAAGTCCTGCACCTGGAACTAGCCCAAGATATAGCACAACATTTTAACAAGAAATATGGAGAATTCTTTCCTGTGCCTAAAGCCATTTTGAGTAAGCCAATCTTTGTGTTTTTTTGTAGTTTATTTTTTTTTTCCCTAAATTGCACTTCAAGTCTGAAGATAAATTTAAATATTGTGGAAATAATTTCCAGGACTAGGAAAAGAGAAGACTGATTGTAAAAGAGTAGAAAACGAAAAAGTGACAAGAAACAAGAGACTGTGAAATTGTACTCCCAAAATGGACATAAGGCGTTACAAATTCCTGGTAGAGACATGTATGCAGCATCTATTATTCTAGTCTAGGGGGACAGTTATGCTCTGATCTGTCAGTCAGTCCTGCTGTTCAAGTTCTAGAGCTTTTAGGGAGGGACTGTCTTCCACGTTGCTAGTTCAGGAGGTGTATAAGGAGCAAGTCAAAAGACCTCCAGCAAGCAGAATTCTGCGTTGTCTGAGTAGTAATTTATATTAAGCATACTAAATAGCATGTTTATTTATTGCTGCGGTGCATGAAAATCTTTTAATTGTGTTAAATTCATACTTGTGTATTTCACTACGGCTCTCTTACAGACCTCAGGCTTTCCATTTTTTACCTTAGACTCAGCGAAACTTATAAGTAAAATCTTCTCAGCAATTTTTGAGCTACAAGGTCATAGGCCGGGGGGTGACGGAGAGTCAGATAGCACAAATGGTGTGTTTGTTAAGAAACGTGAAAAATTGGGCAAGGAAGAAGCATTGCATCTTTGTTGTAAGTAATGTAGAGGAATGCACAGCAGAGACCTTCGGCCCCGAAAGGGCAAGGAGCACTCACCTTAGAAAAGACAGACAGTAATAAACCTTTCTCAGTTTTCAAGCCTCTGTGACAAAAATGGTGTTAGATCCAGTTAGACCCAAAGTGGGGCTTATAAAATACTGAGTTTTGCAAGCTCTGCAGTTTCTAATGAACAGCTAAATAGTAAATACTGTAAAGAGGAGATGAATGTAGTCTGTGCTACTGATGAGGCTGTTTACCAGAAAATAAAAAGCTCAAACTGCAAAAAGAACTTTTCACTTTCCTCATGAGAAGCATAAGTGAGCAAGTATGTACTAACCAAAGAACTGTCCTGGATAAATGAAGTGGTTAGAAAGCTATTCAGACTCACTAGCTACATTGCCTGGGCTACTTCAAATTTACAGGGAAGTGATAGACTCCTCCAAAAGGTGCATCAGAACAGATCCCTTTCTAGGGTCATCTGAATTATTCTTTAAGTAGATACATGATGAGTCAGTGAAGAGTATGTGGTGAATTTAGTTGAATTTATTAGATGTCAAAAAACATTTAGCATAAGTACTTTCAGAGGTACTTCTGTGTACCTCAGGAATCATGTTTCTTAGTGAAAGATTGAAACAGTTTAGGCTGATTCTGTTAAATAAAAGACTTTTTAATATTCCCTTAATGTCATTATTTAATTTTGTGTATCTTAGGAATTTGTACAATCCCTACACTTGTTTTATCTATACTGTGCCTTCCCTGTAATGAGGCTGATTATTGTTTGGTTAGGGAAAACTACTGTGTTTATTGATATTTGGGAAAATTGACAAGAAATTTTGGGTGATAAAGCTTCCTACCTAAAATAAGGTAATTACCTCCTCTAGACTTCTTTTTATCAATTAACTTAACCTGTTTCCCTACTGTTAGGGAGTCTTTCATTAATGTTCATTCCGTGCTCTCAAGATAACTAATTCCTGTGTCCTCACAGAAGTTTCCATGTAGAGCGGAGGAAAAAATGAAGTAAGTTTTGATTTAATTAGGGGAGGAGAAAAATTATTTACAAAGATAGGGAAGGCAAATAGGAGGGTTACAACTCCTTTTTAAGCAGTGACAGAAAGGTCTGTCATTTTGGTACCAAACCTTCTTAGCAATTGTCATAATAAACAATTGTCTATACATGTGCATAATTAATACTTCCTTTTTTTTTAAGGTCCAACAAAGAAAATAAAATCCCTCAGAGATCCAACAGTGAAGATGTCTAAGTCAGACCCACAGAAGTTAGCTACTATTAACATAGCAGACAGCCCTGAGGAGATAGTGCTGAAATTCCGAAAGGCCGTGACTGACTTTACCTCTGAGGTGACTTATGACCCATCCAGTCGCCCTGGTGTCTCCAACCTGGTGTCCATTCACTCTGCGGTAACTGGACTTAGCATAGAAGAAGTGCTGCACCAAGCTGCTGGTCTTGACACTGCTCACTACAAAATGGTGGTAGCAGAGTCAGTTATTCAAAAATTTACACCTATCAGGAATGAAATCAAGAAACTCCAGGAAGACAAAACCTATCTGATAAAGATTTTAGAGGCTGGAGCAGAGAAAGCCAAAGAACTGGCTACCCCCATCTATCAAGAAGTAAGAAGACTGGTGGGATTTCAGTAGAAACTGGCAAGCAGTTGCAAGGACTTCAGTCATTTGCTCCTGGGACAGCTATTTTGTTTGAAACAAACAGTTTGAAACAATAACTTTTTTTTTTTTTCCTCTAAAAAATCCAAGTAGAATAGCTAAGCTGTTTACATCAAAAACATGTATGAAACCAGTTCCTTCCAGTGGGACCAGCTCTGAACTTGTCAGGATGGTCAGAGGACGAGGGTGCAGGCAATCACAGTTACAAAGAAATTGTACAAAAGCAGGATACAAGGTTACTCAGAGGGGGATTTGGGTTTTTCCTCCAACCACTACAAGAAGCTGAGGTATAGGCAAGATGGTTTTAATCCAGTTGAAGGAGTTGAAGGAGTAATCTTCTCAAGAACACCCTTAGCTGTTTATGTGATTTTGTTAGAGCTGGATAAGTCATGGTTATTCAGCTTTGATACCATAATGGTCTGCTCTTGGATAACCAGACAGCACAGAGTTACAAATCAGAATGACGGGGGCTTCGGTGATGAAGAGAGAACTTACTGCTTCTCCCTGTCCTGTCTTCAAACTCAGTGTAATTCTGTACCTACATCTAGTTTGTGTGAGGTGAGTTAGTCAGATACTGATATCCATACAGTAGAACTCACTGTGGCTGCTAATGCTAGATGGCTTCTTTGATAGTCTCTCCAAAGAATGCTGAGCAAATGTGAATTTCACTTCTGCCAGCACTGCCTGATCGATTCTGAAGTTCTTTGTCAGGCTTCACACAGGCTTCAACTCATCCTTTTCCACCTTCTTTTTGGTTTAGCAGGGAGCCCTGAAATTTTCAGTTCAGCATCAAGTCTAGGACTGCTTTAGGAAAGGTTCAGGGAGAAAAGATGTGTGAAAGAGATCCTATGCTGATCTGTGAGAGAACTTTCTATATAATTTACAAAATTAATTATTTAAAAATTATGCTCAGGTCATAGCCAGGACTAGAGTAAAATAATTTATCAAAATGGAATTAAATAGATCTTTGTGAAATCTCACTGCTAAACCTCACCTTCCTGGGTTTCTGCAATAGTAACTTGAAAGGCAATCAAAAAATCATGTGGTTGATTGTCCTTACATGTTGGAGAAGTTGCCTACTGCCTGCGTTACAGCCACCTCCGTAAGAAAAAAAAAGTCATTATTGTCATTGGTGACTGGGAAAAGAGGTCCCAGTACAATGACTAGATCCACTTGATGAGGAATTCTGCTGCCCCCCTGGGGCCTGTATTAAAGATGTTAAAAGAAAACTTCCTAACCTAGTGCAGCCCCCAGATAACTACCCATTGTTGGTTTTTGATGTAAGCAACAATGAAGCTGTGATGAGACCAGGAGAGTCATCATGGGCAATCAGAAGGGTCTGTAGATTCTTGGGACAATCTGTTAAAGGTTTGGGAGTGCTGATAGTGTTTTTCTTTATCCTTCCAGGTGCTTAGAATATCAGAAGAAGTATCCAGGCAGAGCTTATCAATACATGGCTCTTAGGCTGGTGTCACTGGCAAAATCTTGGATTTTTTGATCACCGTGTGGTCAGTGCAACATCAGGCCTGCTGGCACATGACAGGATGCACCTTTCTCAGAGAGGGAAAACGTGTTGTTTTTTTTTTCTGGACTTACTGAAAGAACTTTTAACTAGACTTGAAGATGAAAAGAGATTAAACAAGGCTTGCCAGTGATAAGCTGTGAGATGACATACCAGAGTTTGAAGAATCATGTGCTAGTGAGGTCCTTCAGTCTTCTCCACAAGGTGCTGGGTACACTAGAGCACATTTGAAATTTTTCTGCGTTAATGCATACAGCATGAGGAATAAGCAGCAGGAACTAGAAGCCCTGGCTTTGTTCCAGACTTACAACATTGTTGGTGTAAGCAAGACTTGGTGAGAAGAGTCCTGTGACTGATGTATCATGTTGAACAGTTATAGGCTTTTCATGAGGGACAGGCAGGGCAGGAGAGGCAGTGTGTGGCACTGTATGTAATGGAATAGCTTGGTTGTATGAAGTTCACAATTGGCAATGATATGATTGAGACCCTCTGGCTACGTATTACGGGACAAGCAGGCAAGTAGATATCATTGTGGTAGTCTGGACCACAACACAAATTAATTATTATGTAAAGAATGAAGGGATATTCCTAGATCAGCCACCCTTGTACTAATGGGTGACGTCAATTTTTTAGGTGTTACCTGAGAGTACCACACAGTTGATACAAACAGGTCCATAAAATCCCTGAAACACTTTGACACTGGAAACAAGGTCAGGTGACATTAGGGTACTACAGAGGTGCTATTCACCACTGTCGAGAGAAAATTTGTACAGCAAAAGCTTATTTAGGGTTGAAGTTGGCCAGTACTGTGGGGAACAAAAATAGTACTATGGGGGACAACAAAATGGACTTTTTTTACGTATGTTTTCAGCAAAAGAAGGACCAGAGATAACACTGATTAGTTACTTGGTGAGGATGGTCGCTTCATAAATAGGGATGTAGATAGTCAACACAGAGACATTTAATGCCTTCTTCATATCTGTCTTTAATGCTGATGATGGGTCCTGACTAGAGATGTGAGTTGAAGGACTATGATTGTGGTAATGATAAACTCCCAACCAGCTCTAATGTTATGCCAGGTTTGCTGCTCCAGCTGGATGTATTACATGTCTACTGGGCCTGATGGGGTTCATCCCAGGGTATTCAAAGAGCTAGTTAATATCATCTTGAGACCTCTCTCAACTATTTTTCAGTGATGGTGGGAATCTAATGAGATCCAGTCTGGAAGGTAGCAAATGTTGTTCCAGTTTTCCAGAAGGACAAGAAATACCCTGGTAATTATAGATCTTTCACTCTCACTTCAATGCAAAATAGTAAGGAAGATTATTCTGGGAGTTACTGAAAACTACCTGGAAGTCAGTGTAGTTATTAGTTGCATTCACAAGGAAAAAAGTCTTCTTAGGACTAGTTACTTAGCTGAACAAGGGAAGCCAGTCGATCTTTCTGAATTTCAGCAAAGCTTTTGATACTGTTTCTCACAGCATCCTTCTGAGGAAAATGTCCAGGATACTTATAGACAAATGAATAATAGTATGGCTGAACAATTGGCTGACAGTTGGGACTCGGAGGGTTATACTAAATAGAGTTACATCAGGCTGGTGAGGGTCCATAGGCTCCACTTGAGGGCCAGTTCTCTTCAGTGTTTTCAGAAATGACTTGGATACAGGACTTGAAGCTATGCTAAGTGAATTTGCAAACAGTAATAAATTAGGAGAACCTGCTGACTCCCTTGATGGTAGAGGCCTTGCAGAGAGATGCTGACAAATTGGAGGGCTATGCAATCACCAACCATGTGAAGCTTAACTAGAGCAAGTGGTGGATTCTGCACCTGAGATGAGCAAATATGTCTGTATGTACAGATGGGGCGATGACATGCTGAAGAGCAGCCTCACAGAAAGAGATCTGTAGGTTCTGGTTGATGGCAATTTGAATCTGAGCCAGCAGTGTGCCCTGGCAGCCTGAAGGGCCAACTGTACCCTGCGGTGCATCAGGCCCAGCACTGCCACCTGGGCAGGGGAAGTGATTGTCCCAGTCTGTGCTGTGTGGTCTCACCTCAAGCACTGAGTGCAGCTTTGGTTACCCAACATAAGAAGGACATAAAATTATTAGAAAGCATCCAAAGGAAGGCTACAAAGGTGGTTTGTTCAGCGCAGAGCAGAGGAGCTGAGCGGAGGCCTGATGGCGGCTGCAGCTCCTCACAGGGAGCGGAGGGGCAGCGCTGAGCTCTGCTCTGTGTGACAGCGACAGGGCCCGAGGGAACGGCATGGAGCTGTCAGGGGAGGGCAGCTGGGGGTCAGGGACAGGGTCTGCATCACGGGGCGGTGGGCATGGAACAGCCTGCCCAGTGGGCACAGCACCAAGCTGACAGAGTTCAAGGAATATTTGGACAATGCTTTCAGGCACTGGAATTGAATTTTGAGCGGTCCCTCAGAGCCAAGAGTTGGACTTGATGATCTTTGAGGATCTCTTCCAACTCAGGATACTCTATGATTCTATGATAAAATGTAATGAAAGCCTTACTTGTCCTGTGCTAGCATATTAAATGATGCTATGTTTAAACTTTCATACTTTGTGAGCTCGTAACCATTATATGCCTGTGGCATTTGTCATGGAGAACTGCAGTCTTATACGACTGAGTTGAAAAATTTGGGAATTTCTGTGTAATGCAAATTTTAATAAATAAAGCTGTTTGGTTTTTAATTTACTTATTAGCAGAGTGACATAATTCAGAAATAGTTCATTTTGCAAAGCAAGAAGTAGTGGTCTGAGCATCTGGGAATCTGCACTGAGAGCTGTATTTGCTCATTAAGGATCTGAAGAAAGAGAACCACAAGGCAAATATTTGATAATGGTGGAGTTTCTAGAGTTAGTCAGTGCAAGAGGAGGAAAGTGGATGGTGAGAATGAGAGGAAACCAAGTGCAATATTGACACGTCCTCTAGAAATAACGAATGTATTCAAAACAGTCCTTGGTTTCAAAGTAACTGTAGCAGACTACAAAGGAGACACATTGCTGTGGTTACGTAGGTATTTCATTAGACTTCAGTCAGTGTTTCATAACATATTAAAAAAATATATCAGTCTGCATAGGAAACAAGGCAAAAAATAAGACACACCTCATGATTAATATTATTGATTAATGTCAAGATTAAAGCTTACTAGATTTGTTTAACTCACTGCTATTTGTATTACATCCTTAACCTGACTGACCAGAGGACTTGTGCTACTTTACTTTCACATTCACTTTATCCCTGTTTTGAGACCCAATCTTGGCACACAAAGGAGAACAAGATGACAGAAGTAAATTAAAATAAGTAACAGAGAGTAGCTTCGTTTCTTTTTATGTTGAAAAAAAAAAAAAAAAAAAAAAAAAAAAGGCTAATTAATAAAAGTATTAAAGATGTTGTGTACATGGTGTACAGATAATTAGCCATTAGCCTAGCTCACACAAGTTTAGCTACATTTGGTAAATTAGATTTGGTAGACTAAAAGAATGCTTCAGTTAAAGTAAATCTCTATAATGATTTTTCTTTCACAATAATTCTCAACCTCTGACTTCTTTAGGTTGCGAGTCAAAGCATTAATATGAAAAACAGATAACTCCCTCCTGCTTTGCTGCTTGGATTTGGTCAAAGGCCTCACCCACAGTTGGTTCCTTAAGAGAAACTGGTACTGTGCTTGTGGATGGAGATGCTTGAGATGCAGAGAATCTTTAACAATCATGGATCTGATTTCTACCTTTTTCTTTCTTTTTTCTTTTTTCTTTTTCTTTTTTTTTTTTTTCTTTTTTTTTTTTTTTTTTTCCCCAGTAGCAGAGATCAGAACATGTATCCAAAAGACAAATTGTAGTTTCACTTTCTTTTTATGCATATGCTACTCAAATCACATATCACCTAGGACTGGCATTCAGCACATCTCATTTGCAGTAAAAAGAAGTGGGAGTATTCATATGTCTTCAGTACAATTTTAAAGGTTGTGTGTGTGTGTGTGAGACACGAACAAGCAATTCTGGCTTGATGCCTGAACTGTTCTGAACTATTGCACTTCTATAAATCTGTTAAAGTTTTTCTGAACATTACAGAAATGGAGCAGGAATAAAAGTTTCAGAAAGGCCCTTTTGTTGAGTGTAAGGTCTTTCTATCTAGGATATTTAGCAATGTTTCAATCTAATTCACAGTTTCCTCATTAATTTAAGAATAGATTGTGTGGGCTTTTTTTCTTCTCCTTCCCATGTCCGTCAAATAAATATGGCTTGTCTGTCTTATCTTCTTGGAGTAAGGAAATATGCCTGTTTTTTCTTCAGAAAAGTCAGACTTCTATAAAACGAATGAATATGCTCACCTACAGACTGTTGGCTTAGCCTCTTTATTTTGGTAGCTCCTGTGCAGGAATTCTCAAAACAAAAGCTACATCTGCCCAGTGCTGTAATCCCTGTACTGCTAACAGTCATGATCATTAGAGTCCCCTGAGAGAAGACAGCTATAATGTAGGTGTTTGATGCTTACTTCAGTTTTCTGAGAGCATGCCTTTTCTGGGAAGTTAACCATCTTGGCATTTGGCTGGACCTAGCCTGGCTACCTCTTTGCATTCCTTGAGCGCTCTAAAGGAGTTTGTCAGGAAGAAGCTGAGTATAAAGCAGTGGCTTCTTGGTACTATCAGTAAAAGTTGTTTGATACCAAGCTACTATGATCTCTTTGCTCTACTTCCCTCTTTTCTCTTCAGAACATTCTTGTAAGCACGCATTCTAGATGGTGTTCTGTGACAGACAGTGTTTAGTTTAGTAAAGCAGTGCAGATGAATTAAAACAGCTCTTCAGAGAAAATGGCTGTTCTAGGCGGCCTGATGCTATGTATTCTGTAAGGACTTGCTTCACACTAATTCTAGTCTTGTCCCATGGATTTACTGCTTAATTACAACTAGTAATCAGTAGGGACACTCCTGGAATGCATTTTCATGTTCAAGTTCATCCAATTCATGTTCCTTGAAGCCCCTCTGTAGTGTCTGCTGAGGTGCAGTGAGTAGGGATAATGGGAGTTCCTACAAAAAGGCATTTCTGTTCCCAGTCACCTTGCTGGTGCAGACAGTCCTTGTGGGGCTGTGAAAGTCAAGATAAGGCATTATCCCCAATTGGTTGTTTGGAAAAAAATCAAATTATATCTTTCCTGATGGAAGAAAGAAAAGTTGAAAGTGGAAGAGGTATGTTTATACCCTGTGCTATCTGTGTTGCTCTTAGTTTAGCTTCCCGTTCTTCAGTGATTTTCCTTGAATATGTGTAGTAATGTGTGGTCATAGTACCCAAATCTCTTCTTCTCACATTTCTGAGTGTTCATTGCATGAGAAGTACATATGATAGTGATTGGGATCACAAGTATCACAACAGATGGACATAGCATCTCTAGGTAAATGAAGATGTTCACTTACACCTAGAGGTTAGCACCAACTCCGCAACAAATAGCTGTTTATTAAGATCTAGCTGAAATATTTATACACTTGAGTCTTTGCCATCAGTGGTTCCAAGGAAATCCTCTTGTGACTGGCAAGAAGATGTTGTATATGAATCACAGTTCTGTGCTCCCAACTTAAGGCATAGAGTTTACTGCAAATTTCAGATTCAATCTTCCTCAGTAGAGACTCGTGAGGAGGATTAGCCTCACAATTAATTCTGGCTTTAACTCTGATATCTTCATACATACATGCTTCAGATAACTGGAATTTATGCAAATTGTATAGTATCCTGCAGTTTGTTTCTAACTATTAAAGATTGGCCTGAAATATGCTTTGTTTTCAAACACTGTGTTCTGGGTTCTCAAGATCTCCCAAAGGAGATTGATTCTAAAGAATACTTTCCAAATTGCCTAGGTTTCCATGAAGAATGACAGATGGACCTTCCACAGCATTTATATCTTCACATTTGAGTAACTAGATGCTGGTGGTGCTGGCTACCTGTTAGTTTACAACCAATTGCTTCACAGAGAGAGTACCATAAGGAGTCAAGTGGAAAAGGTTTTCTCTTAAGAAATTTTCATCCTGAGAAAGCAATAGCCTTCTACCTGCTGTACTAGTTTATGTAATTACACAGAATCACAGAATCATATAATCATAGAATTACAGAATAATAAAATGACTTGGCTTGGAAAGGACCTTAAAGATAATTTTGTTTCAAACCTCTGCCATAGCAAGGGCTGCCACCCACCAGATCAGGCTGCCCAGGGCCACTTTCAGCAAGGCCTTGAACACCTCCAGGGATGCGGCAGCCTGTGCCAGTGCCTCACTGCCCTCTGGGTAAAGAGTTTCTTCCTAATACCTAACCAAAATCTCCTCTCTTTTAGTATAAAGCTATTCCATTTCTCCTGTTACTATCAGACCCAGTTGAAAAAAACAAGCAAACAAACAAACAAAAAGCCCTCAAGTACTGGAAGGCTGCAATGAGGCCTCCCCAGAGCCTTCTCTTCTGCAAGCTTAACAAACCCATCTCCAACAGCCTTTCCTCACAGGACAGGTGCTCCAGATCATCTCCGTGGGCCTTCTCTGGACCCACTCCAACAGCTCCACATCTTTCTCGTGCTGGAGGCTGCAGGTCTGGATGCAGTGTACTGCAGGCAAGGCCTCCCAAGGGCAGAGGACAGGGAGACAATCACCTTCCTCTCCCTGCTGGCGTCCCTCTTTTCAAGCAGCCCAGGATATAGTTGACCTTCCAGGATGCAAGTACACACTGCTAGCTCACAACAAGCTTTTGTTCCGCCAGGACCCACAAGTCCTTTCCACAGGGCTGCTCTCCATGTGTTTTGCTCTCAGTCTGTACACATATCTGGGATTGCCCTGACCCAAGAGCAACATCTTGTACTTGGCCTTGTTGAATCTCAGTAGGTTCACATGGGCCCACTTTCCAAGCTTGTTGAGGTCCCTCTGGAAGGCATCCCTTCCTTCTACTGGGTCAACTGCCTTCTTCCTTCTACTGTGTCAGCTTGGTGTCATCAGCAAACCTACTGAGGGTGTACTCCAACCCACTGTGTCACTGATGAAGATGTTGGAGAGTATTGATAGCAAGGTGAAACCTACCTATCACTCACCTGCCTCCACTTGGACACAGAACCACTGGTCACAATCCAGTGGCTGCAACATCCAATTCTTTATCCACAAACAGTCCAGCTTTCAAATCCACATCTCTTCAATTTTGAGATAAGGATGTGGTGTGGGACCATATCAAAGGTTTTGGAGAAAC